GCAGGAATTAGGACATGGTTTAGTAGGCGTGGTGATGTTGGGTTAGCGGTCAGACTTGATGATCTTAAAGGTCTTTTCCAACCTTAATGATTCTGTAATTAATGCCATTCATCCTCTGTCCTAAGGCAAGATTCGTTAAACCTGAACTATTCTAACATACATTGTTAATACGAACTTGTACTTGCGACACAGGTGTTCATGGTTGGATTCAGATCTTCATGTATACTTGTAAATATGAAGCTGGTTCATTTACGCTTAGATTGCTGTTACTTTAAATCCTGCAGCAGAATGAGGCACCATATTTTATCAATAAATGCATAGTTGGGAAGCATTTTAAGGGACTGGTGTGAGCCACATTTTACAAGGCAAGTCGTCTTATTGATTATTAATAACTGCAGAGCCATGGTAAGGACGGACATTGAGAAAGATTCTAAGAGTTGCCTGTTAACTGGGATTGCATCATGTCTGAAAATACATCACATGTTTTAGAGCAATGATGCATTTAACTGCATGCATTTTAACAAACGTAGGCATGTGGAAGGAGGCAAGAGAGAGTAGTTTATTACTTCCGTAGAAATCTGTGGAACAGCTCAAACCTCACCATAGCCTGTCCCTGCTCTTCTTGCTGAAGTATAAATTGCAGTCTGTATTTTTAAGGGTTTATTCTTGTTAAAAACACACATACAGACAATCTCAGAAGTGGGGGGAAAAAATTTTTTTAAATCTTACTTTACTAAATTACCAAGTTGGGCTAGAGAACAATGGCACTGTAGAACTGGAGGGATGTTATTACACTTGGACAAACAACAGTTCAGCTGGTTATATATTTAAAAGCAGTTTTGGATCAAAGCTGTCTAATCACCCATAAGAAATGTCAGCACACAATATTACTGTATTCAAAGTAATTCTGTCTCTAGAGCATAGTGTCTTAAATTCAGGGCTGATGTTGTTGTGAAAGCAGGTCTATTTTCTAGTTAACTTGAACAACAGTTTTAAAATACAGCCGCTACTCAGCTGCTAAGACATCCTACTTAAGATTCTCTTGCTAGATAGGCAGGTGGTATCCAATTTTATTTTAATCCATATTTCTCTTTCATGTTTAGGCTGATGCACCTAATCCAGGGCTTATTCCAGATGCAGATGCAGTAGGTGTAACAGTTGTGCTAATTACATGCACCTATCGAGGTCAAGAATTTATTAGAGTCGGCTACTATGTAAACAATGAATATACCGAAACAGAACTGAGAGAGAATCCACCAGTAAAGCCAGATTTTTCTAAGGTAAGTCATATTTTGTTCTAGTCATATGTCAAAGGTATGCTTGTAGAAAGAGGTTTTTAAGAAACAAAATCAAACCCCAAGTAATTCCATAAAGTGTGTGGAACAAGGCATCAAATAATAGAAAATACTTGCAGGGGGGCAAACTACAAGTGCCATGTAGTTGCCATAAATTTGGAGAACATTGTGAAACTTGCAGAGTTTCCACCAGCTTGAAGCCTTGGCTGGACTTCATTATTATTTTACACTGACTGTGTGAAATAAACTGTTGGGTTCCCTCTACCTGCACCACTGTTGGCAAAGTGGCTCAGTTCTTCTGAAAAGCAGAATAATGTTTTTTTTCTAGGACAGTCAACCTGGAACTAAGTTTTAAGTATTAATTTAATACAGTCATTATCCATCTGTTCTAGTGTTGGAGATGCAGTTTCCGCAAAACAGTAACAAACAAACTGAAGAACAAGTTATGTATAAAATGAGAGAAGATGGGTAACCTGGTAAGAGTAGGTCAGATGATTATCTGGTCAATGGACAACTTGACCAAGGAAGTATACAGACTAAGTTGTTAAAAATATATATATCCTTCATGATAAAAATTAAACCAGGACTAGAATTAAAAGATGATGTGGAACAGAAGGACTTGGAACTTAATACCTTGAGAAGAATCAATTAAACATCAAAAACTAGTCAAAATCCTGTGAAGTACTCTACCCAGGCAGCCTCTGTACAACCAGTGAGGTTCTATACAGCACCCGGGTTTGTTCTCATAGAAGATTTTGTGGAATTGGGTTTTCTCTTTCATAAAGAGAAGTGTACACACTTGTACTAAGGTTCCAAAGTTGTGCAATGGTGAAAATTTTGTTATTTCTCAAGTTTGTATGAATTACATGACTGGATATATGAAGAAATGAATGGGATAATGCATGTATTGTAATGACCAGTACAGAGAGAATCCCCATAATCCCTGAAACTGATCTTCAAATGTACCTAAACTGGTTTTTAAAAGTTGCTAATGATTTTCTGAAATTATCTTCAAATGTAACTAAATTGAATTGGTATCTACATTGGTTTTTAAAAGCTGGTAATGATTTTCTATGCTTAAAAACTTTCAGGGATCAGATGCTCAGGTTCTTGAAATTCAAAATTACTGTTAATTTTGAGGATTCTTAAACTTATAATCTGTTCCTTTCTTTTTTTTTCTTTCATTTAAATAATATTTGTTATTTTGGATGTGAATGCCAGAATGTTGACTTCCTTTAAGCACTTGAATTTAGAAATGCCTAGAACTACTTGTCTTAATCCTCTGATTTGCTTATGTAAAAAGCTAGCTCTGCATCTATGAAAAAGAAGAGCAAAAGCTATCATGTATTTGCATAAGAAATCCTTAATGTGAGTTTGGGACAGAACTTAAACACACCAGTAGAGTAGAAAGTTATTGAACATATTTAATTGTAATTGATGGGTAGTAGACCCTACTAGGCTCAAAAAAAGAAATGGTCTTGTTAAGTTTGCGTAAAGGGCTGGCAAACATTTAATGAGAGTGCAGTTCCTTGGAGAATAAAGTCAGCATTACTACCAAAGCAGACTTTTCCTGTGATCAGTCTTAACTTTCAAAATGAGTGGCCAATGGTGGTAAGTTGCCACCCTCCAAAGTTAACTATATATTATCTTGTAAATGGTGAAAGATTGAAAGTGAGCATTTTCTTTTTTGCCACATACATAAATGAATACAACATGTTTTCAAAGGAAAATGAAGGTCAGTCATGAAAATAAAATATATGACTAATGTCTAGGCACATCCATTGCCATAATATTAGTATCTTCCAAATCTAAATAATGTTTTTACTTTAAAACTTTAGTAGACAAATTAAAATTCAGTTAACAAAATTAATCTAAAGCATGGCAACTTAATTTAAGGAAAGATCGTACTCTTAAACAAAGACAGACACTTGATGGAATTGGTACAATATTGCAAACACCATAAAGTTGATGCAAAATTTTATGAAGTACTGTGGTTTGCTAAATCTTTGTCAGGGTAGTCATTGCTTCACTAAAAGCTGGCTAAAATAATGAACACTTGCACTTCACTTGTAGAGTTCTTGTACAGCCTTGAACTCATGGAGCAGTTAAAAATAGCCTCTCAAGAAAGCAGTTACTTTGAGTAGGATATTAGAGTAAATGAATGAGTGGTGTGTTTCTGTAAGCATGTCTCTGATCCATAGATAGTAGCTATAGATTCACACTTATGTGAACTACCTTTTTAAATAAAATATTTTACACATACAAGGCTATGGGGAATAAAAGGAAAAAAATCTGTATGTACGTGAACTGCAGTTTGAGATGTACACATTACATAATCCATATATTTTCTTCTCTCCCAGCTTCAAAGGAATATTTTGGCATCTAATCCCAGAGTCACAAGATTCCACATTAATTGGGAGGACAACACTGAAAAATTGGAAGACGCAGAGAGCAGTAACCCAAATCTACAGTCACTGCTTTCTACAGATGCATTACCTTCAGCATCAAAGGGGTGGTCAACATCAGAAAACTCATTAAATGTTATGTTAGAATCTCATATGGACTGCATGTGACTAACCACCATCATTTTGGTACTGTACATGTGTTAAACTGTAAAAACAACCAGAACTATTTCCCTCAAATTCCATAAGTACATAGTTGACAAGCAATGTGAAGAACTTGTTTTAAAACATCCTGTAGAAAGTTTATAAAAAAAAAAAACCAAAAAAACAAACCAGTATTTGAGCAAATTGTGGAATATAAATACAACTATTTTTAAGTAATTGCTTCTTTTCTCTAATGTGTTATTCTATGTGGTCTAAACCAAACCTGATTAAAGTATACATATTCTTCCCCCTCCCCCTTCACTTTGTAAGCACTATTAAAAGATAGAAAACTGAAAGTTGAAATATTCAGGCAAAATGAAGGAATAATGCCATGTCCTCATCTTTGATATCCAGATTGCCAAATATAGTGCCCTTTAATAGCAGCTTAAGAACAAAACTGTCATTAGATGAAGTGCAAAGAAAAAAGTATCTCCAAAAAAAAAAAAAAGCCCCAAAATGTCCTCTTGCTGTGAAAGCAGGCAGCACAGTATAATTTTAGGTGCAAGCTTCTTTCCCTTTCAAGGCACATACTTGTTACTTAAAGCATGCAATTTGAGATTTACCATCTGCTGTCTTGGGTTTTAGGACTTTTTTTTTTTTTTTTAACTCTCCTGCTGCTGTTTAGGCAAACTGTGGTTTGTTAAGGACAATGTTTCCTGTGAATTTGGGTGGGTATCTCAGCAAAGAACCTTTTTCAGCCATCCTAATAGCACATGCAATTGGTTGGAAGGATTCAAGCAATTACTAGAAAATTTAAGCATGAAAAGGAATAGCATCCATACCTAAAAAATGCTCTTGTGCAAGATTATTATCTACAGCTGCTGGGTTGGTACACTTATTTTCAGGTATGTTTTATTCTTGTAGTCTTTTTAACTAGTAATAAGGAATTCACATGCTTTCAGTTTTTTGAAACATCTGGAATTTAAAACTTTTCCATTTTCTTGCTACCCTTTAAGGCAATCCTGTGCACTGGTATAAATCAAGATTCAAACTGTTGCGGCAGGCATGACACACTCAAGAATACATTGCCTGCCCTAAAGCTCTTGCACTGAGACATCCCTATTACCTGCAGCATCCCTGAAGAACTAGCCAGTAAATTGTAAAGATTTAAGACATTATTATGACACTAACAATTGAGTTATTCTTGCCAATCCTCGTCAGCCTTATACGTTCACTGTGCCTATATGTGCATTTAAAATTGTAATCTGCCATGTCAGATTATGAGAATATAGTTCTGCTAGTTACTAGCCCAAACTGTGAACCCTTGTAGGTTCCAGGCCCTTAAAAAAAGGTAAATTTCACAATGACTGACAGTATAACTGAATAAAAATAGAACCCTCTTCTCTTTCTGCATTCTCTAATAGGGATGAAGATGTCCCAAGCAGTTAGCACGTCTATCTTTCTGCATCATTAGTGAAATTGTCTTTATTTCTAACATGTATATTTTTTAAATCAGAAAAGAATGTACATGCACATGTTTCTTTCTTGTATGGAAACTTGGCAGTACCTATGGTAGCTAAATGAATTAATGAAAACTGTTAATATTTGGAACCCTAATGTGTGCTCTTGAAAATATCACTGTAATTGTTTAAAATGATTGGCAATTTAAAAATATTAACACCCTAATATCTGTATGACTTAACACAAAGAACCAGTCCCCCAAACCAGCAGTTGCTTCACTTGAGGGCTGAAATTATGTGAATTTTTAAGAAAGATATTTTGATTTTCAGTTATATTGCAACTTTACAGTCTACAGTGACATTTTGAGATTTTTGATGCACTTTATTGTTCTATTTATAAATCTATTGAAGATACCTCTTAAATGTAAGCATGTAAATAACTTAGTCATCTGCTGAAAGACTGGCAGGCTAATGAAGTCTGCCCTTAAGCTGAGGCTACTGTAGTAGTATTTCAAACCCTTGCACTTACTGAAGGTTCAAATGAAAACATGATCAAGTAGAAGCTGTAACCAGAATCCATCCATCAGTAGCGTGAAGGCTTCTTAGAAGCATATGCTACAAAGTGATGGAAGCAAACTGTAGTACTGCTATCGCAGAATCAACTACAAAATACAGTCAGCAAAACTACGTCACCCAGCAAACCAATTAATTTAGAGAAATCAGAAAGTGAAGATCTATTGTTCTGTTTAGGAGGGAAAAAGTCAACTATGCACATGAACTCAGGTGCAATAAACTTCAAGCTAGACTGGATGGCAATGATGCTGCAGTAGAATTTGGTACCACCTTACCTGATACACTAACACAGCCTAGATAATAGCTGACCCAGCAATTGCAGGAAAAAGAATTAACCCAACTGTGCTCAGTGAAAACTGGAGAAGAACAACTCTACCTCATGAGAGCACCTCATGGTCTTTGCAAGAGAAACAGTCTTTCTACACTTTTTGAGAGACTGGATGCCTCTCAGGTCTTCTACAACTTTGTCGATCTCAGCAGTCCATACACACTGTCTTCTAAATATCCCATTTCCTGGCAAAATCACATTCTAGAGACACTGAATTTGAGAAACCAAATTCCAGTACTCCAGAAGCTTCAGGTCTCATCATCAGGCAAGATCACAGCACAAACTTGGTGGTATTAAAAGATACACTGCATTATAAGGCAACTCTATAAAGACTTGTCCCTGGTCTCTGAAACAATTTTGAAATGTCGGGGCTGTTTCATACAGATGGCTAGTGCAGACAGCACAGCATTACAACTTCAAAGTTGAAGATGAGTTTACCTTCCCACAAACCTCCACTTGCACAGACCATCAAGATGCAAGGGAATGCTACAGATTCTATTGACAGGACTGGTGATGCATGTCACTGTATTTTTACCTCAGCTAGACAGACTCAATTCCATTAGAAGATCGTCATAATGCTTATCAGAGGTTACTCCTGTACAAAGAAGTAAATGGATCAGACATTAGAGATGAAAAACATGGGTAGGAGTTTTTATGTCTAGCTTGAAAAAAACTTGTTTCTTCATCTTAACAGTCATTGTGATTTACTCATGCATCACCTTCAGTCTGAATTACTATGACACTGTTGATTTTGAATGGGGCAAAAAGGCTCCAGGTCCACCAAAATGGAGGCTAGTGAAATTTAACCTGTCCAGCGGCTCTGCAAAGCTCCACTGAAAAAACCAACCCTCACTACCAACCTTCAAGACTGCAGCAACTCAGAACTTTGCTACAATAACCACAGTTAGATTAGTTCATAGCTCGCCAATCTGTATTCTTGAGATACGAGTGAGAAAGTCACAAAGACAAATCAGATGATCTGACAGTCCATTATTTTCCTTTGTAGGGCCTTGCTGCTGATTTCCTGGAAGTCAGCTTAGACTGGAGGCTAGCAACTTGCAGCTGTACAAAGATTGTTCACTGTCATCTGAAAATGGTGGTAGGGAAGAAAAAGGGGGAAAAAAACCCAAAAATGAAACACCTTATGTATAATACGTACACTCCTGGAAAAGAGCAAAGTTAACTAAATCTTGTGGCTTCTGTCTGGGCAGCTGCAGGACATCCTTCACATACTTAACTAACTACCCTGCCCCTTATCCATAGCATAGTGATGTACAAGCTTGCAGATTCTCTCATTTTTTTGAGAGCCACAGAAGTTTGGTCCAGAGATGATGGGTTAATTGTTCCTGTTGTTGCTAGCTGGAGGGCTCTGCTCAGTGCCAACTGGGAAGATGCAACAAAACTGACAACTACCTGTAAGGGTGTGGGGGACTACTCATGCTAGGCCTTCTCATTTGTATTTATGTTTCCAGTTAAAGTTCTGCTTTTTAAGAGCTGGTCTTGTGTGTGATGCAAGAGCTGGGCTGCAGAAGACAGGTGGAGGGATTTTTGCTTGACTTTTGGTCTAAGCAAAAAAGAATGTCTAAGGAAGAAGAGCCAGCTGGAGTGACTAGGGAGGCTTTGTTAAAGGCAAAATCTGTGTTTGTGTCTGGAACACAAGGAAAGGCCCTCTCAGAAGGGGATGGAGGAAGGATATCCTTCAACATTTCCAATTTCCGGAAATGCTGGCTTGGAGGCATGGCTGGGTACTCATTCTCCATGGCATGAGGGATGTGACTGGCCTCCCTGCAGACAGAGAAAATCAGAGGAAGGAGGTGTGTGTGCTGCAGAAGGGCTGTACCAGATGTAAGAGACAGCAGCTATGTGTTAACAGCAGTGTTAAGGACCGGCTGAACTGTCAGGAACTTTTAAGGAGCTCTTGGGTCTCCCTCCAAAACACCTCTGGACCACAAGATAAGGAGGCCTACCTTTCAACATAAGGGGTCCTCCAGTTTGTCCTATCTCACTAGAAAGGTGTGGCAGACCTACACTGATAAAAACTGGGAAGAAGCAAGGGCTTTATGGTATGGTAAAGGCAATCCTGAAGACATAAGATACCCATCCAAAAATCAGCTACTTGAAATGCCTGCCATTTCAACAGCAGGACAAGAAAATCTGATGAAGGCCTGCCTGGATGTATTATCCCAGCAGTATGTAAGGCCCAAAACCTCCAGCCAACATGATGAAGATGTTGCTCCTGCAGTTATTTCCTGTCCATCCTAACTGCAGGTCTTCAGATAGAGATGTACGAACAGGCCAAAGTTTATGAAGACTGTATCTACTTGGCTAAATAATCTTTTGCATGCAGGTAATCAAGGTAAGCTCTGTCTAAGTACAAAGTCATCTTGGAGAAATATTATTGAGAGGAAATTAAGGGAATTTAAGGATCTGCAAGAGATGAGACATTGTTAGAGATGTGGCATATCTCTGACGAGGTTTGATCACAACTACAAAATTCATTCCTTCAAGAACTCTAGCAGACTTGCTCCTGAGTTAAGGCCTCTTCAGCTTGAGGCCCTACTGTTTAAGGAACAGCCAATGAAGACAGGTTCTCAGGAAAATATTTTCAAGGCTAATTGATAGAAAATACTTCAAGTTGATGTACACAATCATGAATATTCAGGAAAACAGTGAAGAATCCTGGGTGGTAGAAGTGAAGATCTGTAAAAGAGTGGCCTAAAGGCTACATCTCTATTTATAACCCGATCAGGGCCAGGATATGGATCCACAGCAGTAAAACTGACATTGCAAAATGTCAACAAAAAGGCAGTAGAAGCTGTGAGAGGAGAGGCCACAAGGCTGCATTTCATAGAGCCCAGGAAGGCATGTTGTACAGAACTGGAGAGCCGGAGAAACAGCCGATGGTCTCCCAGATTTTTAGACAAGCTGTTCTAAATATAGCTCACGAAATTCTTTGAGCAGTCCATCTGTAGAGGGACACAACACCAAACAAAACTTTGCAGAAATGTGAACAGCCAAATATGCGCCATGAGCAGCAGAATAACTCTGGCCCGCATGTTCATGAGCTCCAGACCTGCCAGCAGCAGGCATGTGTTGGTTCCTGTCCCTATGGAGTCAAACATACCACTCAATTGATCGCTGCAGATCTCAAGCTCCAGGGGAAAATGAAGTATTTTCTTTCCAGTGATTATCTCATCCAATTATGCCCAAGCAGCACTATGGCTTTGGGGATTGCAAAACAGTTGGTTAAACTCATTGGTAAGGTGGGAACAAATAGAGAGAATTTGTTAAATCTCACTTAGTCTCTTTCGTCTTGGAAAGCTACGTACTAATTTACACAAATTAAAGCTACCTGAATGAGTGACTCTCTGCCATTCTCAGATGAGAGGCTGGGGGTGGAGAAGGAACCAGGACTTCACAAAAACTAAACACTGTGTAGACAGAACCAGACAGTGGGGCAGATGGTTCCCCCATCTTTTATTTACAAATCAGAAAGTCCTATAGTGGTCAAACAAATTATTGCCTTTGAGTTGTTGAATGTGGGCTGGCTTTCTGGCTGCCAACTTTCATTAGAGAGATGTGGGAGGAACGAGCCCTGCTTCTTCATAAAAGGCATAAACTTGCAGAGAACTCTCAACAGAAAATCTCTTCTAAGTGTTCGCAAGGAAGGCAACTGAACAAAACAAGTAAACACTATCCAGAGAGTGGAGGTAAAGTTCTGTTTTTTTCAAAACAGAGAACAGATTATTGGTTACTTGTAAGGGGTGTTTGCAGCAAGCAGGCAACTTGAGCCTGTTGGTGAGATAAGAAAGATGAAGATCTTCCATACCTATTCACTAGAACAGCAAAGAAGGTGTTAGCCTGGGTCAAACTTTTCTGAATCAGGCAAAACACATCTGATGAAGCATAGACTTTGTTTAAAGGGGAGGCAGGAACCTCATTGAAAGAGCAGAGGCCCAACAGCAAATCAGGCTGCGGAGTTAGGTCACTGTTTTCTGAAATTCTGCGAGGCAATTCCAGTTAGGTCTGGATGGGGTAACAGGCTGCAGCGGGCACATGACACCACAGGTCCCCAAAGGATCATAGTGGATCTCAAAGGACATGATACCTAGGGTGGAGCTGGAAAGAAAGGGAATTTTGGCACAAGGAGAATGTTAATGATCTAATACCCTGTCCTGGTACCAATAAGCACTTGTATAGAAAAGCAGGGAAAACTGATATGATAGACAGTTTTGGAAGCAGAATTCTAATTCTACAGTTGAGAAATAAATAGCTTGTATCCTAAAACAGTATCGGATGGGTAGAGGGTACAAAGGTTAGTTAGATATTGACAGTTTTCTCTAAAAGAAGAATCCAAATGTAAGACAGCTTTTAGCACTTCTCCAGGGTTTACCCAATCTCAGGTGTGTCTTTTGGCCTATGTGGACTGTAATCCCAGAGCTAGCAATTCAACTGCAATCCAGACTGCTTTTATATAAAAGTAAGGAACTAGCTGAAAATGAAACTTATGGATTTAGTCTTTGTACACTGGAAGGAAAAATGTGCATCAGGATTCTCCTCTCATGAGAAAGCAGAAACTGGTAATTTGAAGCGTGCTGTTACCACAAGGAAAGTAATGCAATTTAATACTTCTCTAAACTCATCATTTGGACCTTCTGCACAAAAAGCAAGTTGACAAAATCAATGTTAGGTACATTTACAACCATAGTCATAAGTAAGTCATGCCTTGCACAAGGAAGGCAAAGAAAAAAACTCAAACTACATCCAAACTCCTGGGCTAGAAATTAATGCTTTAGTCCAGCAGTTCTAGCCACGGAAAGGTTCCCTGAAATTAAACTAGGGTTAATAAGATTTCTTGCTAGGGATTCAAGTTACACTTGTGATAAGGGTCCTAAAGAATTTTAAGATGGAAATTTGTTGCACCTGCTGTCAGATTTCAGAGGGACAGTGAGAGGCTTTTTAAAATATAAGGAATGTTTAAGTGAAATGTAGATGATCTAAAGACCCAAGATGATCCTTTCACAAGATGAAACTCCATCTCCACACATCATTACAGCTGATTCTTATGGCACACATACCACGGTAAGCTTGTAAACTGCAGTATTGGTTTTCAGGGAAATGTCTTTGAACCTAGCTATCATGGCTGAGCTGGAAACCAGATCATACGGAAAATGAAGCACAGGAGGGAGATGTGGTGAAGCAGGCAACAGCAACATCAGAGGCCAAAAGCAGCTGACACAGGGAGATTACTACTGACAAAAATGGGCAAAGTCACATTGAAATGCATGGCAAAATTTCACTTCAGGTCACTGTCAGTCCCCTAGCAAGACTTAAATTATCCAGCCTGTTTTCCGTTCTTAACACAGAACAAAAGGTGGAGAAAAGGTTATGCTGAGCCAAAATGTTCTCTCTGGCTTTTCTCCAGACCTATTTGTCAACAGTTTGAATGGAAAACCAGAGGCCTATGTGTTTCATAACAAGCTCCCAGCACACAAGGCTGTGTATGTTCAACATCACGTTCCACTTTCCGCAGCTACAGAAAACCCGGTATACACATGTACACACAGCTACAGAACTCAGAAAGATTTATTCCCTGGTTTTGCCATGTATAAATAAGCTATTTCCCAGACGTAAAATGAAAAGCAGCATCTGAGAAACATTCAAGTTGCACAAGCTAGCTGAGACACCGGGGTTTATCCCTAATTATTTAATGATTTTGAATGTATTAGTAACATCGTTATTTGCTCAACTAAAATAATTTGTAGAGGTAATCTGACCCCGCCCATTGTCCCTAGAAGAGTTTCTGAAGACACCTGGCATTCAGAGCCAGCTGGGATATACCTAAGTTAAAAAAAAAAGGGGGGGGGGCAAAAAAAAAAGCTTGCTCTATGAAACCATTTTTTTGAGTTAAAAATAATTCCTCAGCACAGGGGTGAATTTCAGAAAGTAAGTAGAAATTCAGGAGAAACCAAATGATGCTAGCCCATCACACAGTGTGAGCTCTGGAAAGATGTCATATTTGTCATAGCTGGAAAGAACACTAAAAATACAGGTCCAGATCATCCTCTGCTAGCAAAGCAGTTAGAGGTGCCTCTGGATGAGGCTTGTAAGGTTCCCTGTTAGAAGCTCATCACACTGCTCCACTGATACAAGAAGAAGGGGCAGGACTGCCCTTCTGCAGAGTCATGTCAAGCCTCACGTCCCTCCACAGCAGTTCTTTGCTTCAACTGTACTGATACAACCTGAGCACATACGTTCACATATGTAGAAGGCATCTATTAACCATACTTGAGTGAAAAAAGTAGAGTGTTACAGCTGAAGAAGCACATACCTGCACTTGTAGATCCAATTCCTGCAGTAAGCACAGAGCGTGGTATAATCTTTACTGCATACTTGAGAAACTGAGATTTCCCTGTACCTGGGTCTCCAACCAACAAAAGATGCGATTCACCTTGGGGGAAAACAGTGTAGGAGTAGATGGTTCACATACAAAGACATGCACAAAATGCTCAGAATTAAACAATACGTCCCAATATTCACCTAATATTTAGCACTACATATACATTACAATATGTAATTCTGTTTAAGACTGCACTATTTGGTGTGATAAATATATTGTTTAATAAAAGCATCTAGTCGTATTGCTTCACCCAAATCAAACATTTACAATGAAGTATTTTAGAAGTACTAGCAGGTATTTGGCATATGTCCTGTAATGTGATTTCTTACATTTCAGAATACTCATTTCTCAGACTCAACTCATTCTTTGAACATGAAACAAAAGGATACCAGGGTTTAGTTATAATTCCACTATTCAGTTACTTAAATTATTGCAAAAAGGACTAATAAAATCAGGAGGTTGTTTTTCTTAACTAATTCTGTTACACTGCCAACAGTTACACAACTTAGTAATTTCAAAACAATGAAACTACAGAAGTAAATAATTTGGTTACTATGATCTCACTGAAGTGCTCGAAAATTATTTTGCTGTCTTCTACAAAATATCAATAACAACTTCAATTCAAATATAAAGTCTATAAGTTTATTTAGCTGCTGGAGCATTAAGAAAATCCTGTATTTGTATATACAGACATACTATTTTAGAATTATTATGACCTACATAGATTATGACCTGCATACCACCTGGCACATGCCATATTTGCCATCTAATAACAACAGAAGGAGAATCAGCAGGCAGATAACTTACAGTAACAGAACTAAGTGAGATGTGCTGACAATCACAGATGGAAAAGTCTGGCATTAGGAAGTAAAATGAATCCTTTAATTTTTCCTTTCAATGTACTATAGTGATCTGCATTAAGGAAACATTAATATTCCATCCTTTGATGCCAAATACTGCTGGGAATATTCTGCTAGAAATCATTTCAAAATGTTACTCATACAATAAAAAGTGAGTTTATGTTTTATCTAAAACAACTGCCTTTAATATTCTACCTAATGGAATCCTGAATGCCTGCTTTTACTGAGTTTGGGGAAAAATTAAAATAAAAAGAGGAAGTCTAGACACCCACTTTATTTGTCTGAGATTCTGGAATAATATTTGTCATTAATCAAAAATTGCTCTCACTCAAGAAAATTAGATGATTATGCTTCCAAAACCTTACTGGTTTGATTTTGGAGTGGGGAGGAATGTGCGTGAAGATAGGGACGGGAACAACTGTTAGAAAGGATGTGATACTATTAGGAACAATACTAACCTCTGATTCGAGTTCCAGTAGCATCAGTCCTCTGTACACCACCAGCAAGCACCATGGCTACAGCCAACTTCACCAGATACAATCCAAAAACTTGGGGACATAAGCTAGCCAAAATTTCATTCCTCCCTAGAACAGGAGCAAAAAAAGGCACTCAGCGCTGCCCTACGAGTAGAACTTGGTTTTCCATGGACTCCTATGCACATTTAAAGTCCTATGTCCATGGTCCTGTGTGCACTCACAAATAATTTAGGTCTGCTTCCTGAACAAAAGCAACAGGGTAGGGAGGACATTTTTTTTAATTATTATTTTTTAAATGGGACCCAAAGCAGTTGTTTGATCCAAATGTCCTTCATTATAAAGAAGTTAAGTCTTCCATGGCCACAAGCAGCAAAGCCAATCCTAATCGCAATTTAAGGAAGGTATAGTCTGAGTATCATGAGAAAAGGCACTAACAAAATGCCATCGGGCAAATTCTTTTGTATCGCAGTTAAAAGTGTAGGGGTTATGAAGAATAAAACTTAAAAGTTTCCAGACTTCATAATATCCCCTTGAAAACTGGTGTGTTGTACATTTAAGAAAAATAAGAAAACATCTAACACTTGAAGTATTTTGCCCTAAACCTGTGCACCCATAGCATGACTCATTTTCTCATCGTTGTCTTGAATCTCCTTCTCCTTTGAACTTTCTGTGTCAAAGGTCCCTCTCCTCCTCCCAACCATAGCCTCTTTCCAGCAGCAGAATACTTCAATCTGCTATGATAACGTTGTTGGCTTGGAAGATGTGTGACAATTAATTCTGTCCTTTAAGATTCTGACACTAACAGCACATAAGGGATCACAGGTTCAATGCCATACATTACTCCCATTGGTAGGGAATAAGACAGAGTGACTAATTTTGAGTTCTTGACTTCATGTTTTAGATTTAGATGCAAGTACTGGCAAAATATGTAGGCACCTAACAGATGACTTGAGGCATATGTGTTTCTTGTGGAGGTTCTTCTGAAGGTGTTAACTTGTCTTGTCCAAAAATGAAAATTTAAAAACTGTGGTCAGCCATAGCACAATTCAAGATTTAACTCCACAGTTGCCTGTATTTGACTTAATATTCATTTGCCTTGTCAGTGCTGAGCAGCACAGCAGTTCTGCTTCTTGCTACAGAGTATCCAGAAAAAATAAAGTCACTGGCTGTATTGGGTTTGTGTGGCAAGGTTTTGGTAGCGGGGGGGGCTGCAGGGGCGGCTTCTGTGAGAAGCTGTCAGAAGCTTCCCCTGTGTCTGAGAGAGCCAACACCAGCCGGCTACAAGTCAGACCCACCGCTGGCCAAGGCCGAGCCCATCAACCGCTGGCCAAAGCCAAGCCCATCAGCCACGGTTGCAGTGCCTCTGGGGGAGCAGAGTTAAGAAGGGATAAAACCTGCTGGGGAAACAGCAGCAGAGAGAGGAGTGAGAACATGTGGGAGGACCAACTCTGCAGACCCCAGGTCAGCAAAGCAGGAGGGGCTCCAGGCGCCGGCGCAGAGGTTCCCCGGCAGCCCCTGGGGAAGACCACGGCGAGGCCGGCTGTGCCCCTGCAGCCATGGAGCTCCACGGGGGAGCAGATCTCCACCTGCACCCCGGGCAGGACCCCACGCCAGAGCAGAGGGATGTGCCCGAAGGAGGTTGTGACCCTGTGGGAAGCCCACGCTGGAGCAGGCTCCTGGCAGGACCTGTGGCCCCGTGGAGAGAGGAGCCCAGGCTGGAGCAGAGTTGCTGGCAGGACTTGTGACCCCACGGGGGACCCAGGCTGGAGCAGTCTGTTTCTGAAGGACGGCACCCCGTGGAAAGGACCCAGGCTGGAGCAGTTTGTGAAGAACTGCAACCCGTGGGAAGGACTCATGTTGGAGAAGTTTGTGGAGGACTGTCTCCCGTGGAAGGGACCCCACGCTGGAGCAGGTGAAGAGTGTGAGGAGTCCTCCCCCTGAGGAGGAAGGAGCGGCAGAGACAGCCTGTGATGAACTGACCACAAACCCCATTCCCCATCCCCCTGAGCTCCTCTGGGGGGAAGAGGTAGAGAAATTGGGAGTGAAGTTATGCCCAGGAAGAAAAGAGAGGGGAAGGTGTTTTAAGATTTATTTTTTATTTTCTCATTACCCTACTCTGATTTGATTGGTAATAAATTAAACTAATTTCCCCAAGTTGAGTCTGTTTTGCTTGTGATGGTAATTGCTGAATGATCTCTCCCTGTCTTTATCTCAACCCACAAACTTCTTGTTATACTTTCTCTCACCTGTCCATCTGAGGAGAGGAGGGAGAGGCTTTGGTGGGCACCTGGCCTCCAGCCAGGGTCAACCCAGCAGACCTTCGTAAGTTCTCTGAGGCCTGCCATGGTAGACTTTCTCAGGACACAAAATACACAGTATCAGGAATTGACTGACATAAAATGCAGCAGTTGTTACCATTATGTCTTGAAAAACAGTAACCGTATATGCATCCTGTTGTAAAATGGCCTATACCTTAGACTCCTTAGTCAAATTTGACCTCTGCCCTCAATTTCAACTCAAATTCAGACAGATGGCCTGAAACAGACATCTTGGTCAGTCAGGGCCTTTCTAATTTCCACCCCAAATTTCTTGTAGCCACTTCACATTAATTTATTTATTCTGAATGGGTAATATTGCATAAAACCACAATGCTCCCTGCACGATTCCAAAAATTGTCCTGAGAAAGATTAAATGGGACCTTCAAAGTCGATCCATTACTTTCTGAACAGTTCTAACCAGGGTGATAAGAAATGTTCTCATTCCAATCAGCAGGAGGCTAGCAATTAAACTGCTTTCCAGGAAATGCATTTCTGAAGAATTTTTGCCATTGTCAAGGTCTCTGATTTCATATGTGAGTCCGCTAATTTTTAAGCTGACATAGGCAACATTCCCACCTGCTTTTCCTCCTGTTTGTCTTTTAAGAAGAAAGACTAAGCCCTTTTCAGGGTTTTAAAAGACAGAGCGTTAGCCTGAGACGGTTCAGTGACAGAGATCCTGAAGAGTCCATTGAGCTTCTACACAGCTCAGGAGGAGGCACTCAGATTATAGAGAGGGATAGGGTTCCAGACACAACTCCTGCTAATTCCTAGGTGGTTGACTGCAGACTGTGGTAAGTTTAGGAGCCAGTGTACTAAACACTCTGGCTGTTCTGGAAGCCACTGTGAATTGGGACACTCTATCTATATTTGTTAGGAGGCTCCACAGCACCTAAATCAAGGGTCTAGGCATCCAAGAGTTAGGTTAAAGATGAGATGTGCTTAGCTCTGTGGTAAAGATTCACATTTTAATTTGGGATGCAGAGACAGTGAGTCAGATCTCTCACCCCAGAGTCAACAGCTATGCTGACAAAAAGCAGATCTGGTCCACACTGTTTCTTCTAACATGTATGCTTTTCTGTCTTGATTATAAAACACTTTTCTTTTTCTCCCCTGATACTTCTATTATTTCTCATCTCTTGTTAATAAATGTTCCACAAAACACTTGACTAGAGAGCTCAAAAGATGGAAGACAAATGCAGTATGTTTTTTTTCACAGTAATACTAAAATAAGAATTTCATATTCCTGTACTGGAAAAAATATATTATTGGATGAATGGGTGGTGGGATAGGATAATGAAGGAAAAATGTGTTCAGTCACTGTATTTTCAATCCTGATTTCATCTCTATCCAATCACATGTCCTACTTAAAAGCTTTCAACTACTAACCTGCTAGGGGATCATTCCTATGTTTTTCCCAGAAGTCCTCAAATTCCTTGCGAACTTCTTCATCAATTACAATCCCTGCTAGCTGCTCATTGTTTACTTTAACATAGTTGGCTTTCAAAACAAGCTCCAAGTCACAGCGTGCACCCTCATGGAAAGGTTTCCACCTCTGCATTACCACTCCATACACTGTGATGTCATCTCCTGGAGGTAGAAACAAACATTAGTAAAATAACATCTGACTTGAGATACGCAGACATGTCAGTTAGCTGTAATGCATGATAATGCAATTAAGATCCTGTGTTACAGTTAATAAGGTTAAAATACCCAACAACAAAAAGCAAACTTCCTGCAACTACTGAAAGTCTAAAAAAAAATTAGGTAGATTGCTTATACTTATGGTGGGAAGTTGCTATGTCTTTGTACTTCTGTTTAAGGTATGGGAATTCTTAAAGGCGTACCTCTGCTAATTTCCTCTTTTTAGAAAACAGGAATTCACAGTAAACTGTAGGTTTTCTTTCAATTAGATTTACTATACAAAAAGTTTAGTCAAAACTTATTTGACTTCTGGTAACTTTTGTGATGAATTCCAGAATCACGTGTTAACATTCTGGCCACAGTGTTCTTCTGAGAAAGTACAACCAGAAATGAGTTTCTTGTGGGCATATGCCTATCTGAGAATTTTTATTCCATTCTTCATACATCCTCCTCTGATTAGCTTCCTTTCTGGATGCCATGTAGCTTTTTCCACCTGCAGCACTCCTTAGACACAAGGCCAGGTTACCTAGCTCTCTGAACCTACAGAGGGGCATCACAACGCTTCTGATGGTGTGGACCAATTTCCTCAAGAGGTTTCATTTAATAACATTTAATATACTTTCTGTACATCACAATACATTACTTATTGACACTGATCTGTCAAACAGTCAAGATGTAACATGGGGATGTATGACATTTTCTAGAATAGTCTTCAACTGCCATGCTAACGTCCAAGCTGAAACAGCAATGTAACAGATGAACATATCTCATTCAACAAGACCTCAGCACTGACAGCCTACTTGGCAAAGATTCATCTCAAATGGAAAAATAAAAATGCTTGTGGTACAAACGTATGTGATATATACTGTATCCTCACCAGACTTGCAACTGTCCACTAAGTCATCTTCCAGAACAACCACCATGCAACGAGGGATGCTTCCAACAGACAGTCTTTGAACCTATGAGACAACAAAAAAACCCAATTCTTAAGAACAGCACCTTTCAAAAGCCATTTATAGCTGCTCTGGCTTAAGGACGTACATTCCTTTCCTGGAACTGAGGTCCACCCTTGCTTTTTGTCAGAAAACTTACCCAGTAAACATGCCACTGCTGCCATGAGCTTAATAATGGAAATTTAATGCTGATATTAATGGAAACAGGATTGGGTATTAAATTAGCCGAAGGTGCTCAGTCCTGGGAAGTGCTGTGTGATATCAATATCTTGCTGAAGAAAGCTTATTAAAAGAGGTCATTTGAAAGAGCTGATTTTTTCTTTTTTTAAATAATTTGAGATATTTTTAGATACTTCTTCCACATGCAAAGTTTACTTTGGGTACTGAAGCATGTCTATAGGTTAGATAACCCTTCACTGAAGTATATAGATTATTCTTTATATTTTTCTGGTATTTAACCATAATTTGGCAGGTTAAGAAACAAATTTACACCTAGGTGTCAAGGATTAAATCAACAATAGGAAAAAACAAATAGCACAAAACCAGACAAAATTTATATTGACAAATGTACTAGTAACTCCTGGAATTCTTTTTTTTTTTCTTTTCTCCAGGGCAAAGTCTATGCAATCTTGTCACAGTCTATTTCCAACCAGCAATCTTTCCATTTACACTTAAAGCTTGCAATAGTTTTTTAGAATATCCACTGCACAAGAACAACAATCAGAAGTACATTTCCATTCTGCAGCACAGGCCATACATGCTAGAACTCTAGATTTATTCACTCTCTAGTGCCTAGGAAGGTTAATTCATCCTTGCGTATTATCTAAATGGCCACAGAGAGTTCACATCACTGTCAGTACTGGTGGCGCATACACAGTTACCTGCAGAGCTCAGTAAGGAAACAGGAGTGAAATTCCTTCCTGGTTCAACTTTACTGTCTTTAATAAGCCCATGCTGCTGAAAATCCTTCCCATCACAGACATCTGTGTGTCACACTAAAACAAAAAAAGTGTTGCAGAAACCATGTGCCAGAAACAATCATAATCTGCAGCATAGGGTTTATTTCCTAGAAACAGTTTCATTCCCTTACCTTTTTGCTATTCTGAACTTTAAAGAGCTTCATTTCAATGATACAGACGGTGAGATGGAGTGCAGCCTCAGCAAGTTTGCAGACTACACCAAGCCGAGTGGTAAGGTTGACATGCCTGATGGAAGGGATGCCATCCACAGGGACCTGGACAAGCTCAAGAAGTGGGCCTGTGTGAACCTCATGAGGTTCAACAAGGCCAAGTGCAGGGTCCTGCACCTGGGTCAGGGCAACCCCCAGTATCAGTACAGGCTGGGGGATAAAGGGATCGAGAGCAGCCCTACCAAGAAGGACTTGGGAGTACTGGTGGGTGAAAAGCTGGACATGAGGCAGCAATGTGTGCCCACAGCCCAGAAGACCAACCATATCCTGGGTCGCATCCGAAGTGTGCCCACCAGGTCGAGGAAGGCGATTCTGTCCCTCTACTCTGCTCCAGTGAAACCCCAGCTGGAGTACTGCATCCAGCTCTGGAGTTCTCAGCACAGGAAAGACATGGACCTGCTGGAGAGGGTCTGGAGGAGGGCCACAAAAATGATCAGAGGACAGGCTGAGAGAGTTGGTGTTGTTCAGCCTGCAGAAGAGAAGGCTCCAGAGAGACCTTACTGCAGCCTTCCTGTACTTCAAGGGGGCTTATAAGAAAGATGGGGACAGACTTTTTAGCAGGGCCTGTTGCAATAGGACAAGGGGTAATGGTTTTAAACTAAACGAGGGCAGTTTTTGACTAGCTCTAAGAAAGAAATTTTTCACAATGAGGGTGATGAAACCCCAGCACAGGTTGCCCAGAGAGGTGGTAGATGCCCCATCCCTGGAAACATTCCACGTCAGGTTGAAGGGGGCTCTGAGCAACCTGATCTAGTTGAAGATGTCCCTGCTCATTCCAGGGAGGATGGACTAGATGACCTTTAAAAGGTCCCTTCCAACCCAAAGATTCTATGATTCTATGATTTCTGATTTCATACATTTCTGTTTTCATACAACTTGCACGTTTATATAGTGCAGATTTTCTTGTGCCAGTTTTGTCTTAGTTACGTGCTACTGTAAAAAGAGGCCAGACAGTTTCTTACTCCTTCAGCTTAGCTGTACTTCCACCCAGGACTACCTTCAGAAAAATGAATGCAAAGTCTGTGAGGAGAATAAATTCAATAAATGTTAAATTCAGTATTGGCTGAAGGGAACAGACATTTGCAGACACCATGTATTGACCATCCTGCATGGCTACAGCTGTCCTTGGCCACCACTGGGCTAGCTTTAGTCCTTAGAGAAACAATGCAAACTGGTGTTACAAGGATTCAGCATGGAAATTTAACCTATTGTCTTGGGACCTTACAGCTGGGATAGAGTTAATTTTCTTCCTGATAGGTGGTATAGTGCTGTGGTTTGAATTTGGGATGAAAACAGTGTTGATAACACATTGATGTTTTCAGTTGTTGCTAAGCAGTCAAGGACTGTTCAGTCTCTCATGCTGGTCTGCCAGTGAGAGGTGGGGGTGCACAACAAGCTGTTAGGGGACACAGCCAGGACAGCTGACCCCAACTGGCCAAAGGGATATTCCATACCATATGACATCATGCTTAGTATATAAAGCTGGGGGAAAGAAGAAGAAAGGGAGGGGACATTCAGAGTGATGGCATTTGTCTTCCCAAGTAACCATTACAGAAAAGAAGAAGGAAGGTGGAACATTCAGAGTGATGGCGTTTGTCTTCCCAAGTAACTGTTACCTGTGATGGAGCTCTGCTTCCCTGGAGATGGCTGAACACCTGCCTGCTGATACGAAGTGGTGAATGAATTCCTTGCTTTGTTTTGCTTGCGTGCACAGCTTTTGCTTTACCTGTTAAACTGTCTCTATGTCAACACACAATTTTTCTCACTTTTACCCTTCTGATTCTCTCCCCCATCCCACTGGGGGTGAGCGAGTGAGCGACTGTGTGGGGCTTAGTTGCCAGCTGGGATTAAACCACGACAGTCGTATATGGTAGCCAACATCAGGCACAAAGGGTTCAGATAAAGACAGATTTGACCAGAACTTGTTAAAACAATTTTGTTGTAAGCATTCATTATATCAGTTTAATTGTTGCTGGTCACACTGTTGTGGTATTTACTGTCAACGTTGTTATGCTTGTTCTCAGAGTTGTGCTATGTAATGCTTTACTTGCTGTACACGCACCCTGCAGTGCCACTGATCATCCCTGCAAGCTGGGTCAAGATTACCATGTTTCTGTATTATGTTACACTGGTCATGAGACTAACTCGGTGTCTGTATTCAGTATTGACATCACCTCTGTACTTCGGGAGTACTTTTTATCTTTTCTCCTCAGAGAGACAATCTATGGGGGATACACCCTCCTTCACCTTCCCCTTCTCCTCCAAGCTAATTCCAACAACTCATGAAATCATATTTCAAATATCCTTGGGATGTTAAAACCAGCATGCTCCTATTGCTAGGTCTCCTGAATCTATTTCAGGACTTGTACTTGTTTAATGTTAAACAACCATTTAAGAATACCAGCTAGAGATCTGCCCCAAGGTGGGACAGTCATGGGTGGCACAGCATGAGAATATGGGCAGGTATCTAGAGAAGTTCTCACCTCTGATGGTCTGGAACTCTACTCCCAAACAACTAAGAACACTAATGAAGAAGTGATAAAATGTTTGCTATTCCTAAGTGGCACAACTTATCACACTGTGCTGGGTCCTGGACAATATCTACCAAACATTGTTAGATATTATGCAGCACCCTCAGGGAGAGGGAAAACACACTGAGTGGCATTGCAGCTATTCCAACCCCCGTAATAGGCACGGGGATTACTCCAAACTCCATGGCAGGCACTGTGATTGCTCCAACTGCAGCAGCAGGCACTGTGGCTACTCCAACCCTGAAAACAAGCACTGCAGTTACTTCAGCCTTCATGACAGGCACTGCAGCTGAACCAGAGAACCAAACCATGCTCTATCAGTTGCCCCTATACACAAGAAGAAATCCTGGAAATGGAAGTCAGCTTGTTTGGTAAGGGGTGCAGAAGCTTCTCCTAAGAGGGAGTGGGAGGAAGAAGCATACTGCCCTGTCAGCAAGAAGGCACACTACTATGAAACAGGGCCATCACGAGAATGGGAGGACTAAGAAGAAGAATTAGCCGCTACCCCTTGTAAAAAAAACTCAGCAGAAGGGCTCCTCGTTTTCCTTGTATAAAGAGGAAGAACTCGTAAAAGAGATAGTAATCACCCAATCCCTATCCCTGGGTAAGCTGCGAGATATGCAAAAGGATTTCAGCCGTCATCCAGGCGAGCACATTGTCACCTGGCTGCTCCAGTGCTGGGATAATGGGGCCAGTAGCCTGGAATTAGAGGGTAGGGAGGCCAAGCAGCTGGGATCCCTTTCTAGGGAAGGGAACATTGACAAAGCAATTGGAAAAAAGACACACAAGTCCTCAGACTCTGGAGGTGACTCCTGTCAGGCGTGAAGGAAAGGTATCCCTTCAAGGAAGATGTTACATGTCACCCAGGCAAGTGGACCACCATGGAGAGAGGTATCCAGTACCGAAGGGAATTAGCCGTACTGGAGGTCATTTACAATAAGCTGGACAACACATATCTAGATGAAGTCCAGTGCACAGGACCCATGTGGCAGAAGTTTGTACGGAGCACACCATTGTCATATGCCAATTCATTGTCAGTAATGACCTGGAAAGAGGAAGATGGACCAACAGTGGATGAACTGGCTTGCCAACTCCAGCAATATGAAGAAAGTTTCACCTTCTGCCTATGGGCCTGCGTCTCGGCTGTGGAAGAACTATCTGAAAGTCCAAAAACCTGTTGGAAAAGCTTTTCCAGGAGTTCCAGCAACTCAAAGAGGATGTTTCCTACTTACCACCTGTACAAACCAGTATCTCACCTGTTAGGAGTAAGCTTTCTTCTGCTCAAGGGAGGATATAAAGGGTATACACCACAGGCCACGCTGTAATTTTACCTGCATGACCACGGAGAGGACATGAGGAAGTGGGATGGAAAATCAACCTTGACCCGAGAGGCATGGGTATGTGAGTTGCAAGAAGAACAAACACAAAAGGGGGTTCTTCCAGGAAATTTGCTGCTCCAGTCTCCAATGAACGGTTCCCTAGACAGAGTAGAAGGGCTGATCTTACTCTTGATTCTAATGAAAGGACTCTTAACTCATACTCACAAGAAGTGACTAATGGATATTATGACCAGGACTAGAAGGGCCCTGCCTCCAGCCAGGTGGAGGAAAGGGACAACCAGGTTTACTGGACTGTGTGGATTAGAAGGCCTGTCACATCAGACCCACAGAAGTTTAACGCTCTAGTGGACACCGGTGCACAGTGTACCCTAATGCCGTCAAGCCATATAGGGACAGAACCCATCTGTATTTCTGGAGTGACGGGGGATCCCAACAGCTGACTGTATGGGAGGCCGAAATGAGCCTAACTGGGAATGAGTGAAAAAAGCACCCCATTGTGACTGGCCCAGAGGCTCCATGCATCCTGGGCATAGACTACGTCAGGAGAGGGCATTCAAGGACCCAAAAGGGTACCGGTGGGCTTTTGGTATAGCTGCCTTGGAGACGGAGGAAATTAAACAGCTGTCCACCTTGCCCAGTCTCTCGGAAGACCCTTCTGTTACGCAGCTGCTGAGGGTCGAAGAACAACAGGTGCCAATACAGCAGTGCAGCAGCAGCAATATCGCACCAACAGAGACTCCCTGATCCCCATCCATAGGCTGTTGCGTTGGCTGGAGAGCCAAGGCCTCCCTCCCCCTTTAACAGCCCCATACAGCCAGTGCGAAAGTCTAATGGCAAGTAGTCACTACCAGTATACCATCGCAGCTCGAATGAAGTCATGCCACCAATGAGTGCTGCAGTGCTGGACATGCTAGAACTTCAATACTAACTGGCGTCAGAGGCAGCCGAGTGGTACACCACAACTGGTATCACCAACGCGTTCTTCTCAATCCCTTTGGCAGCAGAGTGCAGGCCTCAGTTCGCTTTCCCTTGGAGGGTTGTCCAGTACACCTGGAACCGACTGCCCCAGGGGTAGAAACACAGCCCTGCCATTTGCCATGGATTGATCCAGGCTGCACTCGAACAGGGTGAGGCTCCGGAACACCTGCATTGTCTGGGGCAACACAGTGGAAGAGGTTTTTGAGAAAAGGAAGAAAATAGTCCAAATCCCTTTGAAAGCTGGTTTTGCCATAGAACAAAGTAAGGTCAAGGGACCCGCACAGGAGATCCAGTTTTTAGGAATAAAATGGCAATATGGATGTCGTCAGATCCCGATTGATTTGATGAACAACAAAACAGCCATGTCTCTACCAACTAGCAAAAAGGAAACAGAAGCCTTCTTAGGCGTTGTGGATTTTTGGAGAATGCATATTCCAAATTACAGTCTGATTGTAAGCCCTCTCTGTCAAGTGACCCAAAGAAGAACTATTTTAAATGAGGCCCTGAACAACAACAAGCCTTTGAACATATTAAGCAGGAAATAGTTCATGCAGTAGCTCTTGGGCCAGTCTGGGCAGGACAAGGTGTTAAACGTGCTCGATACCACAGCCAGGGAGAATGGCCCTATCTGGAGCTGCTGGCAGGAAGCACCAGGGGAGACTCGACGTCGGCCCTTAGGGGTTTTGCAGTTGGGGATACAGAAGGTCCGAGGCCCGCTATACTCCAAATGAAAGAGTTATTGGCAACGTATGTTGGCTGCAGGGTTTGAGCTGCTTTGGAAGTGGTTGGTGCTGAAGCACAGCTCCTCCTGGCACCCCCAATTGCCAGTGCTGGGCTGGATGTTCAAAGGGAGGGTCCCCTCTACACATCATGCAACTGATGCTATGCAGAGTAATTTGGTTGCTCTCATCACATAGTGGGCTCAAATAGGAAACCCCAGGTGCCCAGGAATTTTGGATGTGAACATGGACTGGCCAGAAGGCAAAGATTTCAGAATACCGCCAGAGGAGGAGGTGACGCTTGCTGAAGTGGCCCCACTGTGTAATAAACTGACAGAAAATGAGAAGCATGCCCTGTTCACTGTTGGGTCCTGTCACATTGTGAGAAAGCATCAGAGGTGGAACGCTGCTGTATGGAGCCCCATAGGACAAGTCGCAAAAACTGCTGTAGGAGAAGGCGAATCGAGTCAGTTTGCAGAGGTGAAAGCCATGCAGCTGGCTTTAGATATCGATGAATGAGAAAAATGGCCAGTGCTCTGTCTCTATACTGACTCATGGATGGTGGCAAATGCCCTGTGGGAGTGGTTACAGCAATGAGAGCGGAGCAACTGGCAGCGCAGAGGCAAACCCATCTGGGCTGCTGCACTGTAGCAAGATATTGCTGCCCAGGTAGAGAATCTGGTTGTAAAAGTACACCACAGAGATGCCCACATACCCAAGAGTCAAGCCACAGAAGAACATCAAAACACGCAGCAGGTGGATCAGGCTGCTGAGACTGAAGTGGTTTAGAGGCATCTGGACTGGCAACATAAGAGTGAATTATTTATAGCCCGATGGGCCCATGACACCTCAGGCCACCAAGGAAGAGATGCAACATATCGAGGGGCTCATGACCGAGGGGTGGACTTGACCATGGACACCATTGCACAGGTTATCCATGAATGTGAAACGTGCTGCAATCAGACAAGCCAAGCAGTTAAAGCCTCTCTGGTATGGAAGACGATGGCTGAAATATAAATATGGGGAGGCCTGGCAGATATCACACTCCCACAAACCTGCCAAGGAAGGCACCATGTGCTCACAACGGTGGAAGCAACCACCAGATGGCTGGAAACATATCCCATGCCCCATGCCACTGCCCGGAACACTATCCTGGGCCTTGAAAAGCAAGTCTTATGGCGATATGGCACCCCAAAGTCAGACAATGGGACTTATTTACAAAACAACCTCATAGACAGCTGGGCCAAAGAGCACAGCATTGAATGGGTATACCACATCCCCTATCATGCACCAGCTTCCAGGAAAATCAAACAATACATGGACTGTTAAAGACTACACTGAGAGCAATGGGTGCTGGGACATTCAAACATTGGGATACACATTCAGCAAAAGCCACCTGGTTAGTCAATACTGGAGGATTTGCCAATCGAGCTTGCCCTGCCCAGTCAAAACTTTTACGTACTGTAGAAGGAGATAAAGTCCCTGTAGTGCACATAAAAAACATGTTGGGGAAGACAGCCTGGGTTATTCCTGCCTCGGGCAAAGGCAAACCCATTCGTGAGATTGCTTTTGCTCACGGACCTGGTTGCACTTGGTGGGTGATGTGGGAGGATGAGGAAGTCTGATGCGTACCTCAAGATTTGATTTTGGGGAGAATAGCCAATGACTGGAATTATATTAATTTCTGTATAATGCTGTATGTCATCATCACGATGGTTGCTATATGCCATATTAACAGTGTTATAGTAAGAACCACCCAGATTAATGAAATGGAACAAAAAGCAAAGGTGATAGAACCGGAACTGGCTTCAGCATACAACAATCCAACACCACACACCACCTCTCCTGCCCTGAAAGACTGTTATGACAGATGAAGCCCAAAGTCAAGGACTAAATGAACTGAACAGAGATTTTAGAGAGATAGCCCATAGACTAAGGGAATGATATCTGTCTGTATATATCAAAAGACAGGTGATTAATTGGAATGTATTGAAAAGTGTAGGATCTGAGCATGACATAGATGATCTAGAGTAAGGGGTAGATAGTGTCCTGGTTTCGGCTGGGATGGAGTTAAATTTCTTCCTAGTAGCTGGTATAGTGCTGTGTTTAGGATTTGGGATGAAAATAGTGCTGATAACACACTGATGTTTTCAGTTGTTGCTACGCAGTCAAGGACTGTCTGGCTTCTCGAGAAGGCTGGGGGTGCACGGGAAGCTGGGAGGGGGCACAGCCAGGACAGCTGACCCAGGCTAGCCAAAGGGATATTCTGTACCATATGACATCATGCTTAGTATATAAAACAGGGGGAAGAAAAAGGAAAGGGGGATGTTTGAAGTGATGGCGTTTATCTTCCCAAGTAATTGTTATGCGATACCCCTGCTTTCCTGGAGATGGCTGAACACCTGTCTGCCCATGGGAAGCGGTAAATGAATTCCTTGTTTTGCTTTGCTTGTGTGCGCAGCTTTTGCTTTACCTATTAAACTGTCTTTACCTCAACCCATGAGTTCTCACTTTTACCCTTCCAATTTGCTCTCCCATCCCACTGGCAGGGAGTGAGCAAGGAGCTGCATGGTGCTTAGTTGCCAGTTGGGCTTAAACCATGACACCTATGCACTGATCCTGGGTGTTTTGTACGATCTGGAATGGAGTTACCTTAATTCTGACAGAAGCATCAACAGTTTCACTAAAATTAGCGCAACTACCTTATTCCAGCAGAAAATTAAGCCTCAAAATTATTTAGTAAGTTAATTCTTTTTGTACTTGAGACATCTTGACCTTAGTACCCTCACCTTTTACTCCATCTTATTTTTTTTACCTGTTCCTGAATTTTGATTTCTTGATAGTCTCTGCAGCAGGTAGGAGAAGAGGTTGTTCCAGAGAGACACGTAAACTTGGTTGAGTTGCAGCCTTCTTCATTAAGACAGGCTGATGGACGACAGAACGCATAGTACTGTTCAAAGTCAGCCTTGACGACAAACACATGCTTGCACTTATTGCAGATATAACTCCGTTCAAACTCCAAAACTTTCACCAAACTGGTACGTATGACGGTCCCAGTAACAGACAAAAAGTGACCCACATCCCTGGATTTAGGAATGTGCTCTCGAGTCAGCTCTGGGCAAACAGGCAAACCTGTTAAACAAAAATATGTGCAGCATAAGGCTATGCATATAAAACATGAACTTACAATGCAGTTAAACAGAAAGACTAGAAAAAATGCCAGACATATTAACAGTAGCCATTGTTATTACTGTTTCATAAATGTGATTCAACAATTCATCTGTTGTACCACAAATCTGATTCACTGGCCTCAGATACTGAAAAACATCAGACACTGAGCACTAATCAGAAAATGTTGCCATTTTACTCTCCTGCTCTTGCCAAGGGCTGAATGGTCATGAGCAGTTTCCATTCGTGGAAATAGATCCTGATGTTCTCAGATCTATTTATTAATTTAAATGATCTTTTGGCAAATGCCATTTATTCTACAACTGGTTTATCTCAATTACAAAATTACAGTTATGCTACTTAACTGTGGTTCAATATTATTTCCACGTTTAAACAAGCATAACTCCTAATCTTGTGTGAATTCTCAAGTCTAAGCAAATTTAAAATTCATAGTCTGTGAGCATTTGACTTTAAATGCACATTGCATACCCATAAACCTCAAGCACAAGGAAGATGTCATAAAAAGAATATAAAGGGGTTATGAACATAACCAAAGCAACAGCCAGTTTTGTGGTGTACTGATCCTGCTCCAGCGTTCACCTGTGTGGCCGTCACTTAGCACCACAGCAGCTGAAGATTAATCTACCTCAACAGCCTACAAAGTCTTCATAAAAATAAGTGGTCTCTGAAATGCACACCTGGGGACAGCATCAAAACATTGCCTGTTCAGAAGTTAGTATATGAACTACAAGATACACATAATTAGCCACTTAAAAACAAATTACCTGCTCTTAAAATTAATTTCTTAGCTTTACTTCCAAAATACAGCTAGGAAACGGAGATGTAAAATAATAACTCTGCTGGAAAATTATGTTTCTAAGGGGACGAAAACTATTTGTGCATTTAGGTCAGATCTTCTTTAGTAGCTTTGACTGCTAAAAAAAAAAAAAAGACATCATGTATTTATTTCAGTGTTTTCTACACCAAATGCTTTGTTTCAGACATGCTGAAACATTCTGTTTTGATGCTTTTAAGCAAAGTGCTTGACCTTTTGCTTTTGTCTAAAGAAAACATTTTTAAATATTAAGCTAATTTTAAAAGGCAAAAAAATAAAGTAAACAAAAAAGTAAAGTAGAAAGGAGTTAAATAGTCTGGAAAAGAAATGAAGTATTATGTAGAACTGCAAACAATTTTTTCTGGTTGACTGTAACAGAGCTATTTACATATTTTACCAAATCTGTTGAAAATTCTTTTTCTCCCACACATTTGCATTTCTATTCAGTTCAGGAAAAAAAAAGATAAAATCCATTTTCTTCCCAGCTGGTTTGGTGTCTTTTTTTCCCCTAGCTCAGTTGGTACAGCTCAACAACCTTTGCAAAATACAACACATCTTACACTAGAGAGAGCTACAGCACTGCTGTTAGGATATGTGATACAATCATCTCTGTGATTATTGAAGATATCTGGATGGGGAAGAAAAGAGCCTTCATTCTGATCATATCAGACTGCTTGACAAACTCTTTAATTGAGTATGTGCCTCTCTGAATCAGCTTTACTGTATTAGTAACAACGTGTAAAACTGAACTATTAGAAGCAGCTTGGCCACTAGTGACAGACACAGCAGTGCTCAGGCTAACGGTTAAGTAAGGAAAAATTTTTTAATGAATTTGTAGCAAAAGAAGTTATACAATCAAATTCCTACAATGCTGAAATTCAGATAAAGAACTTCGTCTTTTACTTTCTTCAGTGAACCCGGGATAATGATCCATTATTAATTTGCATATTCACACTGCCCGAGTCCTCCTTTGAACTCCTAGATGCCCTGTTCATATTGGTATGAGTGCGTTAAGATTACATTCTTACACCTAGTGTAAGAAAAACCACTTTTCCTCACTTCAGACCAAGCTTGACACATAGATCCCTGTGGCCCCACTCCAGGTAGTTGCCTGCCGCTCCCACCAAGAAAGGTGCACCACCTCCTACTCATTCCCATTTGATGTGGGAATGGGAAGTGGCACTCCAAGAGGATGAAGACAATCAGAACCCAGTAGCCACTTAAAAGGTAACAGTATCATGGGAAAATTTGGGTGGAAAAAAGCCTGCAGATCATTTAGCTCATTGGTTTTTGTTTCTGTAGTAGCCACCCTTTCGGTGGTACAGAACATAAACCAAACTACACAGACAGTTGTTCTTTTGACCCAGATGGACCACACGAGGGTAACCACCCCCTGCTCTTCATCAGTTTCCCTCCACTTCGGCAATGGAGTAATTAGTGAGTCTGATAACTAACTTCTTCCATCAACGATTAATCAGACTTGCTTTTATCAGTTATTAAAACTATTTGATCAAATGTGACTAATTTTGCCTGACATTGATTAGGGAATATTCAGACAAAACATCACCATGGGAGGAACGGTCAGCTCCAGCAACAGGCTGATAACAGAACCAGGAATGTCTTCAAGACGCAGCTATTCGTGCCACAAACACCTGCCCGCTGCTTTACTCCTTCCAGAACTTCCTGGTAGCTTATAAAATAATCATACTTGGAGTAAAAATTACCCTACTCTCATGCTGAAGCGGTGATTGAGGCAAATGCATCAGGGGAAATGCATCCTAGAACACTGGGGAAAAAGTTTTAATTCACTCCTACTTTTATAGGTACAGAGAGATGCCGGGCATTTCAAATTTCAGTACAACACAGAGGCCATCCTTTTACACCACATACTCAGCAGCTGTATATGAACTCTGTAACACCTGAACAGGTAGCAAACTGTTTTGCTTTTTTTTTTTCCTAAAAACCTTTACAAAATAGCATTATGAGAGCCACAAGCTAATTATATTTCTGATGTATGTGTTCTAATGACAATATTTTAAATGTAAGTTACTGGGGCAAAATAGATCTATTTAACAACCGTGATTCATCCAAATTCAAGATGCCAAAGACTGAAAGTTCATAAACCACTCCAGCATGGGGCAAGGGAGGGAAACACAGGTCAACAGGTCTTGGCTTTGCAGAGAGCTCCAAACAGTTACAAGCAGAAATGACCAGAAGGGACCATGCCACCACTGACCCAGTTCCCCACAACAGGCAAAACGGGCATTTTAACCACAGAACCTGCACTCCACACTTACCACACCTCAAAGCTACTAAAAACTCTATCCTGGCTGAAACCAGGACACCTAGTAATAAGGAATAATGGCATATCAACTTGTAGTGAAAAAAGGGACAAAATTCTCTATTAATGATCATGCATTCCAACAGTTTGTTCCAATTTTATAACAACTAAATTTATCACAATTAGTTAAGCATAAGATTTGACAGTTTCAGATTAAATTGTCACAAGACAACTCAAAATTTAGACTTTGCCTCTTCTGGGAGACAGCTGGAGCCAATAAAGACCATGAGCCAACTGACACAGTAAGGAAATCAACCCGCAAGAAGGTCTACAAACTCCATAACTTCCCCTAAAACTTTATTTTTTTCCTTTAGACCTCCTGGCTAACAAAAGAAGTAGTGGGAGACCAGCTGCTGGGTTGAGGGGTCTTTTTCCCACAGAAAGGCTTTGGTGCAAGTCATTACCCAGTAACACATGCCAACCATTGCATGCATGCCGGCAGGAATGGCCACAGCTTTCTTCTGGGTTGGTCTCCACAACTCCATGTGTCCTTTTCGGTTTAAGCAGCACCAGCCGTTCCCTACCACTTCAAACCCTGAAACTGCAAGAACTAAACTCGCTTCTTCCCATGACGCCCCAACAGTTTGCTCCAGAGTAAGGAAATTTGGCAGCGCTGACTGAGAGACAACCCCA